ATCGACGACCCCCCGATAGAACAACCAGCCAGAACCCCCCCATCCCTTCAGCCTCCCTCTACTGCCCTGAGCTACCAGCAAACACACATTCATGCACACTGTCCGTCATGCATACTGATAAACGTGTTCACTATCAACAGCAGCAGACAGTGCCCTGGCTGGCTGGCTGCTTGGCTGCTGACAAAGCCCAGACTCAGCCTGCCTGGCCCCGTAGACACAGAACAGCGGTGAAGACAAACACTGGCCTCCAGCCACTTTCAGTCAGCTCTACATATGTCACATGTTAATGACATCAAGTCTGTGGCCACCCACAGACCGCGGCGTACTTGAGGGCAGCAGATTGAGAAATAAAGTCGTTTCTCCTTGGAACAACACTCTTATCCTTTCGCTGTGGCATTCAGTGCCAGGACTTGAGGGCTTTAACCCTTCGCTTTACTGTAGGTGTGTTGTCAAGTCTCTGGTCACCTTTCTCCACCTTCTCAGCCTCAAACCATACAGTCCAACATAGTGGGTTTGGTTACAGAGTGACTTAGAATAAAATGTATTTGTACAACACAAATATATCATTATAATATTTATGATACATGTTTTTCTTCCTGTGAAATAATGAATATTTGTAGCCTCGAGGCTTCCTCTGTTAATTAATTAAGTGAACTAGACTGAAAAGGGAAAGTAAAAGTCATTATTCTAGTGTCTGAGTTCATCGTTCTGTATATATTCAACTGTTACATGGGAAACTCAAGTAGATATCCCTTTGTTTTTGTAGGGATTTGAGCCAAAAACAGGGATGGATGAGCCAAACACACATTCACAGCTTTAATCCTTATCCCATTAGTGGACTCAGTAGTGAAAATAGTAAACAGCAGCCATGCTTGACTCCTCCATGAGCAGAAAGGAAACAGTACAGTGTCTTTTGTCAAACATGACTGATTCACTTTTGCCTTTTGTGTGTGTGGGAGCTTTGCCTTTCATATCGATCACGGTTGTGCCAACTGTTTGTTTTGTCTTTTCATATAATGAACCCTGGGCCCTTGGTGAGGCCCCGGCGGAGCTTTGCTCCATGCTAAAGGGCTTTTTGTGAGACAGTGTCACGCTCCCTCGTTCCGGCGAGGCTTCGCGTTTCTTATTATTCATGGCTCTCTCCCCGTTTGTTGGGAAGGCCGGGATCAAACAGGCCGATTTGCCACGGCTGACACCCACTGCTGCGAGTGTGTGTTTTGCGCGTGTGTGTGTGTGTGTGTGAACTCGGCTCGGGCTCAGTAATGACAGGATTTGTTAAACAGTAAATTAATGAATAATGAAATATCCAGCACGCGCCTGGCTTGCCTGAAGCACAGTGCCCCAAGCAGGAATTACTCCCGACCGGCACTCGGCTGTCTGACACTGGCTGGATACCTGTGTTGTGGTGTGTGTGGGATGTTGGTGCACCGTGTGTGGTGTTGTGTGGTGTGTGTGCCGCCCCCGGGCATGGCGTGTTTTGCTCGTCCGTGGATCTATGTCTTGGTGTTGTGTGTGTGTTGTGTTGTGTGGTGTGGTGTGGTCGATGTGTGTGTGTGTGTGTTGGATAAGCATTTTTACAGCCCATTGCGTGACAGAACGCTGAGGGGCTTTGCTGATGGGGGCCTGCTCTCTCACTTCCTGGCAAAACGACAGACAGACTGACTGCAGACATAACTGCATATAGAAGAGACTGTCAGTGCTGCTCTCGTACTTTGTATATCAAATATTATACCAGTGCCTTCATAAGCTCAGTCCATGTTAATAACTGGATTACCTTTTCACTGGTCCTCTCATTAAAGTAACAACATGTGACGTTTTCATGAAAATAAATTTTGCTTCCCAGTATCAGCAATTCATATTATATCCAGCTCCTTAATGCTTATTTGCCACTTTAAACCCTCAGTGGCTGGTGAATCCTTCCCTGGTGCACAGGAAGTGATGTATTTAAGCATGATCAGCTGTATTGAACCTATAAAAACTCTTTTATAGGTGATTGGAGGGCAGTGTAGAATTGAGACTTTGCACAAATGATGCAAACCACTCAGAAAGCACACTTGTAATGTAATGGTGTTCCATCATGGCTCACTGTTAGGGTCTATAGAAGTTGTATTAAAACTAAATTCAGGGGACCTCCAGGGGCCTCCTTAACCTTTTCTGTTTATCCTGCCCCAGACTTTAAGTTCCTCTATACACTTTTAGTCAGAGCACTCCTCTGTAATGAACGTCACAGCATTGTGATACATCTTTCATCAATGCCAGTATTTTGTTGTTGGGTTTTGACCTAATTTCTCCATGTCAGAAGTTCACAGACGGCTGTGAATGAGTGTCTTGTTATTAAACTATATAAGAAGGGAAACTGGATAATCGGGTTCGAAAGCACCTCTGACTGGAGTTGTATATTTTCAGGCTGTATGTGAACTTGTATTTGTTCAAATGAGAGTTTGCAGGATTTTGTGGGGGAGCAGAAGAACATGTATGCCAAAGCAGTAAAACCAGCTTTAAAGACACATGTTTTTTTTTGTTTTCTGTGGTTTTTCAGTGAGTATGAAACTTGTTGTAGCTTGCATTGATTTTTGGAATCAGTACCTACTGATAGTTTGTAGGGTACCATATTGCTGCATATTCTTCAGGAGGGAAAAGAACACTAAATTAGCTCAATGCCAAATTCCACTGGTGAAGTTTTGTAACACATTTATGGTCCTTTTTTAAACTATATCCCACACTGACTCCAGGTGCAGCCAACTTATTCTTTTTTTTAAGTTGGAAGCTGTAAAGTACGTTAGTAAGTTAACTCAGAACATGACATTATCTGTAATTATGAACAGTGGTGACATTTGCATTATGTCTTTGTAGGATATTGTATGTTGTACATGTGAAGGACTGTAACTTACGTAAAATGTAGCACACATAAAAACACATAATTAGAGGGATGAAGCCATACTGCAGTAACAGTGATACATGTCGACTGCTGGCTGGCACACAGTTGTCATCTTCCTCGGTTTGTGTCTCGCAGCGGACTGCAGCAGTACTATGCTACGCATTTAATGTCACCTATAAAAAAATTAATGCCACATAATAAAAAAAAAACCCTTAAGTTAAGTGAAATAATTGTGAAGTGTATTCTAAGCCTTACAAACTTATTTGAATGATTTTGAAAAATGAAATCTGTAAACTTCTAAATTATCTAAGTACAATATTATACAAATGAAAATCCATCAAAACAAGATGGTCATAATTTATGATGTTTGCATGACCTTGCAGACTTTGCTTTGAACACAGGTAATTCCTGAGGCCTTGGCTGAAGCATTTTCAGGGGCCTGAGGCTCAATACAGAGAATGAAAAAAATCTACTTTGTTCGCAATGGTAAGAATTGCAGCAACCACTGATACTTCTTTGGATTCTCATTTTGAGGAGAGAAATAAATGTTCACACCTACCGATGAGGTGTGTTTTTTTTTTTTGCCAGAAATGTAGACCTATTGCATTTTAATTTTACATTTAATACAAAAAAAAATTTATTATCATTTCATTATTGTGTTTTTATTGTTCTTGCTGTTTTGAGTTGTGAAAAATGAATCCTGAACCTATAATTTCTCTTCATATTTACAAGCTGAATCAGTGCACCAGTCTTGCTGCAAAAGTTTGTTTAATTGAATCATTGCTTTCTTTCACCGGCTGGTTATAACTTAGACATTAGCTTATTATTTATTAGTATTATGTATTGATATTTTATTTTGAATTCTTAAAAACAAGGACATCATTATAATACAGTATATACAGTAGCCCACACATACCAGGCTACAATACTTCTGGTATTTAGGAATTCCTATCTTCAAGGAATGATTAATATTCCAGTCAGTTGGATTCATCAAAAACAGACGAACCATTAAAATATAATTCACTTTAGTGATCTTTTTAATATTTAAACTGACAGTGTCACTTGTCCTCGTGATGAAAGGATACAGTAAATTCCCCAAAACATCAAAGTTTTTATTTGTGTTTTGTTTTGTTTTTGTTTGTTTTGTTTGTTTTGTTTATTTATTGTTCCAGCCAACCTGTCGTCGTTGTAGCCACTGATGCTCACCAGCTTCCTGTCTTTGTTGAGCGGGAATCGCTCGCGGACATGCGGGTGCTGAACTCTGCACCTGCGTCACGCGGCGTTCCACTCCACGGGTCACACCGAGCCCGCGGGACTCTCTCT